CTAATAATCAAAAAAAATTTGTGTCCCAATTTATATTCAGAACCATTTAAGGTTCAATTTGATATTTTTAATTTTAGTAAAAATAAGGGAGACTTAGTAATTAGATTTAATAACTTAAGTTCTTTTATTTGAAGATTAAACATATAAAAACAAATATATTCATTACCTACCTGAATTTGAATTAAAGGATATATCTATAATTTTATATATTTCATATAAAGAATTTAGAAATAATTAAGAAACTATTTTATAGCGAAGAAAAACTTAATTTTGATGGAATATGTATCTGAAATTATTTTATTATCCTAAATTTCAGAAGATAAGTTACGTTTCTATCTAATATAAATCTTGATATTATATTAACAAAACGATTTAATTAATCAATCTTAGTTGGAAATATTTAATTTTTAAATGTAACTTATATATTATTTATAAATTATTATGCTAATAATTCAATTGGCTTTAATATATATTTTTTATAAATATTAATAGTTAGCAAAATTCAATAGACTTAAGAACTACTTTACTTTTAGATTACTAATTATTCTCCCAAATACTAATATACTCAATATCCAAATTATATTTATAAAATTAAATTCGTTGATATTTAAATATGGTGTTGATAGATTCTGTGACATTAAATTTTAAAGTTTATGCTCAAAAAAATGTTTAATAAATTCATAATAATTGGGAAAAATTAAATAAATTTGTTTTAAAGTCTTAAATAATTTTTGAATAGATTTATAGTATTAGATTTGCTCAATAAAAAAAAAGTAAATTTCATCAATTCGTAATTTCATAGAAGCCAAAGATGAGATTTCAAAAGAATAATATTATTGAAGATATTTTATTATGAATTTACAGAATCTCTGAAATCTTTGAATGAACTTAACCAAATCTTCAATCAAATTTAATAATAATAATTTCTATGTAATAATCATGTTGTCTACTAGAATTTGGATGGAAATAAGAGTAATAATTTATGTGTTCAATTTTTACTGACTTTTAGCTGAACAAATGGATTCTAGAGGCTAATGCTCGCTTCGTTTGAACAATAATGGCCTAAGGCATTTTCACTAGCATAATTAGCTTTGGCCAAACGGATAGATACAGAAACAATAGCTAAAGTTTTAACAATATTCTCTCTTGTTAGGATCCAAGGAGAACATAAACTTACAGAAATTAAAACCGAACGCTTACATGTCAGCCTCATCATATGGATAATAAATCCAACTTCTTTCAACTGTTGTATACACAAACATAAAAAAGTTAAGTTGATAGGTGAGATTATCTATTCTCTAAATAGATTCTTCTGATTACTATTTGTTATTTAAGTTACTTAACAATCAGTCATAAAAATAAAATTTAAACTTTTTCAAATATGAATACTTTAAGATTCTTATGATTTGTTTATTTATATTTATTAATGATATAAATCTTAGAATATTGTTGTAGTGATGTCATTAACACAGCAACCCTATCGAAAATATTATCTAATCTAGTATCTCCACTATAGGAGAATTCTTAAATGATAGCAAAACGCAATTTATTAAAATAAACTTAATGGCCAAATAGTTTTACAAGATAATTTCAGTTAGTTGATTTATAATTTTGCAATTGCATATATACCCAAAAGTGAAATCCAAACTGTAGCAATTTTTCAGAATTAATAAATAGAGATGTTAAATCATCTGTTTATTAATTATATAGGAGTTATGCGCTAATATATTTCCAAAAAGATATAGTTTCAATTATTTTACTTTGTGAAATTATTCAACATTCTTACTACTATATCTATAATTTATAGAAATTCTTTAGAGTTGGATATTCACTATTTATTTTTAATACTAAATTAAATTTAATTTATTAAACTATAAACATTTTGCATATTTCATTTATAGGAAAATCAATTTGATAAATCAAAATAAAATGGCGATTAATTTTCTTTTAAAAACAATATTTATATTTAAACAAACGAAAATACCTTTAGTTTTTTGTGAGTTTTCTGCTAATCACATTTACTATTTACTATTATGAGCTCATTCTAAGACCTATTCTTATCTTTATATAATTTAATTAAATGCATTTTTTTTCTTCATTATTCAAAAATCTTGATGTTCTTTTTTAAATCATTTTTTCTAATTTAACTTTAATAATATTTTCTTACTCAATATCTAAAAGTAATTTATTTTTGCTTTCAAATTTGCAAAGGCTAGGATAAATATTGATTTTCCTTTAATTGTTATTCATGCTGAAATAGCAACAAATAATACTTCCTTTATTATTTATATTACTGAAATAATTTATTGTAAAAATAATTCTTAAATGAAAAAATTAAATGAATTATTTAATTTTTTGTTTAAGTTTTCACAACTTCAAGAATGTATGATGAAACTTTAATCTTTAAAAGATTAAATAATTTCACCATTTATTATCAGAAATCAACAAAAAATCATTTACTTCAAATTCATTAATTATTTTTATTGTTCTTATTTTCTTAGAGTTTAATTTTCGAATTTAAAACTGCAAAGGATTCTTACTAATCATCACAACAAAAAATAGAACTTTAAAATTGCAATTTGAATCGTAAATTTTTATGACTCCAAATATGGAGCAAAACAACTCAGTTAAATAAATTAATTTATTATAGGATAAAAAATTATGAGGAGGTTAAAATATTATCATTAAAAGGATAATTGTAACTCTTTTTTATTATTCCTAAATGCTTGAAAGTATATATAAATATTTATCATCTTTAAATTTTCTACTACACAAAGAATATCTATGTTTAATATGAGTCAAAAAATCCTATCATTATAATTATTTACAGATATTATCTAATATAACATACAATCCTCTGATCATACTTTAATTGGTTTCTTCAATGTTTAAAGATTGAAAATATCGCAGATCAGTAAAATAATGGCATAAATTTGCCAAAAAATAAATAAAATCATTAAATTACTAAATTCTTTCCTCCTACATAAATCAAAAATCAAGTAATATTTCAATTCAAAATTCATCTTTAATTCCTTTAAAAAATGTTGGCAACTTCAATTAATTATATGAAATCATTTTTAGATTTATTGAAGTAATTTAGTTTGATTAACTAAAATTTCTTTGAAAACACACTAAAAAACTTATTAAAGTTCTTCTAGAAATCTGAATTAATCTTGAACACTTATTATTGTAAGTTAAATTAAAACATCGTCATATCTTCAAGATTTATGATTCATTTCACTTTTATCTATTATTTTCATTAATAAGATACTTGAGTCAAGGAATTTTTTCAAAAAAATTATATGAATTTAATTCATTTGATGCTTTGGTGATGAAAAAAGAATCTTAAATAATTAATTTATACCAAAAGATTAAAAAGAGAATTTATATATAATGCTGTTGTTATATATTTACAACACTTTTTAATTAAGAAAAAGATTATCTTTTTGAATAATGACACATCTGTATTTAAAGAATTGATCTTCAGAAATCTAAAAAAGGGAGGTAAGTATTCATTTAAATTTATAAATAATTTAAAATTTTGATGTCTATTTTATTATATATTTATATTGTTCATTAAACAATACAGTATGATGAAAATGATCCATCATTTTCATCCCCTTTTTATTATATCTATTTATTTACAGATAACTCATTTTATTCTTTGATTGCTTAGATTATTATCTACCTCAACACTACTTTTTTGCTAAATATTTCATTTATTATCATATCACTATTTGCTTCCAAATAATTTAAAATAATCAATGCATCTTCAGTACCTGCTGCCCAATATATATTATCTCTGAATTATTTATCTTCATCTTTCAACAATTAATCTGCAAACATCCTAAATCTTGATTTTGGTTTATTAATCAAATTAGCTTATTAATTTCTACTTAATTCTAAGCTTGCAATTTGTATTTCTATTTATAATTGGCCTGGAACTATAGAACTACATTTTAAAATATTATTTAGTTTTCTTAATCTGGTAGTAAATTTATGCTCTTTATGATATTCAAATCCAAAATCGAGAGCAGCA